TCTCAAGGCGTCCGCTGGGAGGCCGCGTCCGGAAGAGCAAGAGCGGGAGAGGAATGGGGGTCGGGGTCCACATCGAGAGCCCCTTCCCCAAACCGGAGAGGCTCCTCCCAATTGCCAAAGAAGTGGCGGAGGGCGCGGTCCCACTGGATTTATTAGAGATCAGAGCCTGGGGGCTGAACCCAAGGGGTTTGGGGGTGGGTAACAGGCAACGAGCAGAGGGCCTCGGACCGACGTACGCAGCCCTGAAGAGGGTGAGATAGAGGGGTCCCACGCGCGAACCCCGACGCAGTTGCAAAAGGGTTAAGGCGCTGCGCCCCGCCCCAGCCTGGGGATTGGCGGCCCTGGGGGGCGTGGCCGGAGGGCGGGCCCGCGTTTGCCGCAGCCGCGGGTGGGCGGGGCCCGGGCGGGGAGCGGGAGGGGCGCGGAGCCGGGCCCGCGCCGCGCGCCCCGCCGGGCGGGCTTCGGGCTGCGCCAGCGAGCCGGGTCGGTGGTGCCCGCTCCGAGGACCCCGCGCTGGACTGAGGCAGCGAGTAAGTGAGGCCAGCCCACCGCGGCACCCCTCCCGGCTCCGACCTGTCGCCGTGCCCGCTGCACTGCGATGCTCGCCTGCCGGACCCGGAGCTGGGGAGGGGGTGCGTCCCGCTGCTGGGGTCCCGGGGCGGGGGAGGGGAGTGGAGATAAGGCCGATGATGTCATGGATGCTTCACCAGGCCTGGGGGGAGGTGGCGGCCGGAGGGGGTGCGGCCCGGATTATGTCACCTCTTCCCTCTGCGCCCCGCCCCCCGGGGCCACACGCGCTGGTAGGGAGCTAGGGGAGATGCGAGAGGTATTTCCTGCACCACAGAGACCCTTGGGCACCTCCTCAGGACAGCTTGTGGCCAGGGTCTCTATCTACTGGCGCTGCGGGCCGTGGACTGCTGGTGAATGGCGAACACCCCCACTCCCCTGCGCGAAAGCTCGTGTGTGCGCGCGTGTGTGTGCTGGGGTAGGGGGGGCGCTGTCAGCCCCCTCAGTCCTTAAACACCAGCTTCACCAGAGCCAGGATCTAGGAGATGGCTCCCTTCCCCCGTTGACACCAAGAGAAGGTGGATCTCCTCTCACACATCCCAACCAAGAAGTTCTGAAGACCTCTGCATCCCAAAAGCCCTATAGTGCCCTCAGTCCCCTTTCTCCCTCAGCCCTTCTTCCGGGAAGCCCTTCCTGATTTTCCTGTCCAGATTCACTGCCTCTTCGCATTGCTCATAATGAGCATTCCCACAGCATTCTCTCTGCATCTCCTCAAGGTCTAGGCCCCGAGACCCCCCCCCCCCCCCCCGGACTCTGCCATCTGTGCCCCCAGGGCACCCCCAGGCCAACTCCTGGGGAAGCCTCAGAGTGAAATCTCCCTGGAGTAGCCTGAGCCAAGTGCTCCCAGGCCCCTGCTCTCCAGGGGCTATCGGGGAAGCTCTCCTGGGAGGCAGCATTTGGATTGGTCCTTGAAGGATGCAAGGTGGGCATAGAGAGCTGGGAAGAGATTTTGTGTGGAGCGGAGAGGAGCTCAGGTCAGGAGAAACAGGATGGGCAGCGGAAGATGCCTTGGAGGCCCACTGCAAGATCTGCTCTTGTTCTGGGGACTGAGAGGAATGCCAGGCCTTTTACCCACAATACATTTACTTCTTAAAATCCCTGTAAGGTAGGTGTGAGAACCCTTGGTGAAGTAACCTGCATGCATTCACCCCTAATCAGTTCAGCTGGGATTTGCACTTGAGCTGATGCCTCCAGAACTCGTGTCGACTGTTCTTGGTGCTGCTCATGGAAGAATCTGGGCAAAGCAGGGACAAGATCAGCTTTGCCTTTTAGAAGGAGTCCCCTAGGAGCTGTGTGTGGGAGGGAGTGCAGGGGGGGAAAGGCCAGCGAGGACCCTCCAGTAAGGGTGCTGGCAAGAGGGGCTACTGAAAGCTTTAGGGGGCGAATGGGCTGGTATAGGGCCTCTGAGACCACAAGAGAAGGGTGGAGTGTTCTTAGCTTTGGGAGGGACACAGGGAAGGAGGGGTTGAGTGGTCACTGTGGTTTGGAGGGACCTGCCCATGTAGAGCCCGGGTACAATTCATTTGACCGCTTTATGACCATCAGTACTCTGCATAATGTCCCAGGCACTGAAGGCTGATGCTGCAGAGATAGTGGCAGAGTTGGGCAACAGGCTGTCATCTCAGGTTGTTGGGCTGATGCCTTGAGGCTGCCTATGCTGACCATGCTCAGCCCCCTGGGCCAGTTCAGAACCCCAGCCCATATATGAAGCTCAAATCCGCCCCCCCCACCCCGGGCTCAGTTTCTGCCTATCAGGGAACAAATGCCCCTCTTTGTCCTGCCAGCTCCCTGGTGGGGTTTTGAGAAAAGAAACTGCAGTGGCCCAGACTCGAAGAAACAAGGGGCAGGGAACGCTTGCACAGGATTGATCATGACAGGTTAGAATTAAGGCAAGACAATCTTTGGGGAATGAGGCTCCAGGGAGAGCTGCTGTGGGTTGACAGTCAAGGACTCCCCAGGTAGAGCAGGAGCCGGTCCCAGGAGACATTCCTGGGAACACCTCATTTCCATCTAGGACTCTGGGCATTGAGCTTGTCTGGGAACCACACACATCCCAGGGCAACAGTGGCACAGAGTAGCGTATGACCAGCTTCAACCTGTGGTCAGATCCTCCTTTTTGTGGATCAGAGAAGGTAGTACCGCATGTTTGTACTGCACCCTACATCTCAGAAAGCACCCTCCCAAACACTGTCCCCTGTCACTCTTGTGATCAACATGATCACTTCTGAGGTTTGCTCTTGCCCACATCCAGGCATCTGGTGGAGCCCTCTTGCCTAGCTCATCTCACTGTTGGCATCTTCCTTCGGCATAGCAACATACTCAGGTTTCTAGAATGCTTAATTTAAAATTAGAAAAAGCGCCTTTGGATCCCAAAGACCTTAAGTTACTGCCTTCTCAGGCCTCCTCCTTCACTAGGGAAACTCTCCCGTCTTTCCCTCCAGACCCAACCACCCTTGTAGCCTGGCTTGGCCATGCACCCCTTTTCTGAAGCCATTCTCTTACAGTGAGGTTTCCACCTGCCAGATCCAGGATACACTCTCCAATCCCGACTTTACCTGGCCCCTTTCTCACACTGGAAGCTGCTCCGACATTCTGGAAGCCCCCCAGCTTGTTCTCCAGGGCCTGCCTTCTTCTGGCCTCCTTCTTGCATCCAGGCTGCCTCCCAGGCTTCTGGGGCCCTGCCACCTTCCCTCCATGTGGGGCCCCGCCCATACCACCCTCAAATGCTAATCACCGCAGTCTCTTTCCACCCACTGAGAGATCTCTGTGTGGTCTTCCCAAAGTACCGATTTCCCCCAAACATCTCACCCTGTTTTGTTAAGGGTGTCACACCCACCCTGGTGCCCCAGCTTGGATTCCTCCCTTGCCCCCACCCCAAACCCCATCTCTGTGAAGTTTTGTCAGTTCTTCCTCCCAGACCCCGCCCAGGCCTTGGCACTGGTTTCAAGCCTCAGGCCACTCAGCCTTCATCCTCCCAGTCCTCAGTTCCTCCATACATTGCACCCAACGATGCTGAGAAAGGGGTCATGCTTAAGGGTGGGAAGGGGATTTGGGGATTGAGGGGTAACTGGGCTGGAGTGTGTGGGGAGCAGAGGCAGAGCAGGGTCTAGAGGGGGGCCTGAGAGGCACTCACTCTCAGGGTCTTGCACTTGGTGACACTGCTCTGAAATTCTGCACTAGGTTCCTCTCTTGCCTCAGCCTAGACTCAGCCGTGTATGTGGGGATAGACTGGCTCAGGAGGAAGGTGGTAGAGTGCTGTTCTCCACCCCTGGGGGGACAGATGCTGAGAGAATGGAATTTTACAAAGGCAGTGGGGCCTGGCTTGGTGGTGAAGTTTCCAACCACTTAGGGCTGTAATTCCAGGTGTGGTGGCCAAAAGACTCCTGAAGGACAAGAGTTTTGTCAGGTTCTCCAGGTCGGGGTCTAATAGGAAGGACGCAGCACCAGAATGGGCACCTGGGTAGAAGATAGTCTGAGGGGCACTGGAGGGCCATGGAGTGCCGCCCGGACCCCTTCACCTTGGTAGAGAAGTAGGGCTCCTTGGGGGAAAGTGGATTCGGTTCCAGAGCCTGCCTCCACGACTGTCACTGCCTGGTGCCTTGGCCCCGCCAGATTATGCAGATCTCTAGGGCAGGTGTTCCCCGGTGTGGATTTGAGACAAAGGAACCAGGAAGTGGGGCCTCTATGAGCACAGGTAACCCGAGGCCCTGTCTGCATGCCTGCGCTGCTCCTCCTGCTCTTGTGGGCTGGCCTTGGGGGATGGGGGGAGCGCGCTCATGGAAGGGCTCAGAGGACTTCATGGTTCAAGGTCCAAAGGGAACGAGGGGAAGGGGGTAATCCAGGAAGTCTTCCCGGTGGCAGTGAATTCTTAGAGCGGATGGGAGGCGCGGAATCCCCTGCGGGCGCAGCTGGGGACGGAAGCCCCGCCCATCGCCCCGCCCACGTGTGGGAAACAGGGACTGAGAGGGAGGCACTGCCCCCGGCTGCCGCTGGTGACACCGCGTCCTCTGCCCAGCCTCAGCCAGCCCCCGGGCTTCTGCAGAGGTACTGACCGTGGGGAAGGGGCCCCTCCTGCGGCAGAGTTGGGAAGACCTCCGGAAGGTCCCCTCGCTACGCGCTACAGCCACGGTCCCCAGCCGTCCGTGGGGGGCGGGGCGTGCCCGAGGTGGCGCCCACTTGCGACCCAGGGGCGCGCGGCGGCATCCACCCCCCTCCCCTGACAAGACTCCCGTCCCTCCCGCGCCCGTCGCCTCGGGGCGCCTGGAGCTCGGCAGCTGCATGAGGTAGGTCCTTCATTCCTCCCATTTCGCAGAGGAGAAAACTGCAGTCCGGGATGGCTCAGTCGGCCCGTCCAAAGTCGCCCAGCCGGTTCGGGCCGAGCCCCGACTGCGAGAGTGAGGCACATGGCCCCTGCAGACCGGGCCTCGGAGGGTCCCAGGCTTGAGGACCCGTCGGCCCCCCACCCCCTTGGAAAGGCAAGGAGAGGAGCCTGCGCTGGTAGTGAGCCTCCACTTCTGCCCTTGACTGCAACACCCTAGGTTAGGGGGCTGGGAAAGACCCCTACTCAGTAGATTTGGTTAGGGGTGGGTTCTCGCCTTCCCTTAATTTCTGAGGTTCCCTACTGAATTCAAGTATTGTTGTACCCTTCCAACCCTGTCTCTCCAGCCCATAAGGTTGGGTTATAGGGATTCAAACCCAGGGTAAAGAGTGCCTAAGTTTTGGGGGTTGCAGTGGGGAGTTGGGGCTCATTGAGGAGGTGGGGTTGAGGCAGGAGCTGAGGGGTGGAATGCTGAGCTGAGCAAAGCTGGGAGGGTATGTGCATGGTGCCCTGGGGTCTGGACACGATCAGGGCAACCCATTACCAGGCTGTCATTCTTACCCCAGCCCCGTTCCTCCATCCTGGGTGTCTGGGAACTCTTGTGTCCATTATAAGGAAGGGACACTGAAGAGCTGGGTGCAAGTGCTGCTTGGGCTGACTCGGCTGGGGTGGTGGGGGTGGGGCTGACCTATCTTTGCCTTCCCCCCTGTGCCCACAGTGCCCCCCTGGCTTAGTCATGGCGAAGCTGGAGACACTGCCTGTGCGCGCTGACCCAGGGCGGGATCCTCTCCTGGCCTTTGCCCCTCGGCCCTCTGAGCTCGGACCCCCAGACCCTCGGCTGGCCATGGGCAGTGTGGGCAGTGGGGTGGCCCACGCCCAGGAGTTTGCCATGAAGAGCGTGGGCACCCGCACGGGTGGTGGGGGCAGCCAGGGCAGCTTCCCCGGCCCCCGAAGCAGCGGTGGCGGGGCCGGCAGGGAGAGGCCAGGCCGTTACCCCTCAGAAGACAAGGCTCTCGCCAACTCCCTCTACCTCAATGGCGAGCTGCGGGGCAGCGACCACACTGATGTCTGCGGCAACGTGGTGGGCAGCAGCGGTGGCAGTAGCAGCAGCGGCAGCAGCGACAAGGCACCACCACAGTATCGCGAGCCCAGCCATCCACCTAAGCTCTTGGCCACCTCTGGCAAGCTAGACCAGGTCAGTCCCTAGGGCCTTTCTCTGCGGGGGGTGGGGGGATAGTCCAGAGGGGAGGGTAAGGTGTGGGCCCTGGAGGTTGGGCTGGGGAGCCACGGGGTGGGGTCCTGGGGGACAAGTCTAGCTGGTGGTTCCAGGGTAGAGACTTGGCCATGAGGTGGAGACCCAGCTGGGAGGGACTTCCAAGATGGAGATTAATAGGGGGTGAGGCTGAACTCTCAGCTAGAGGGAAGAGGCGGGGCCTGGGTTAAGGCCACATTCTGATACCTGCTCCCCCTTGCTTGCTTTTTACTCAGTGCTCAGAGCCGCTAGTTAGGCCTTCGGCCTTCAAGCCTGTTGTACCCAAGAACTTCCACTCCATGCAGAACTTGTGTCCCCCGCAGACTAATGGTACTCCCGAGGGACGACAGGGTCCTGGTGGTCTCAAGGGTGGACTGGACAAGTCTCGGACCATGACCCCAGCGGGCGGGGGTGGGGGCGGCCTCTCCGACTCGGGCCGGAACTCACTCACAAGCCTGCCCACCTACAGCTCCAGCTACAGCCAGCACCTGGCGCCCCTCAGTGCCTCCACCAGCCACATCAACCGCATTGGCACTGCCACCTACGGCAGCGGCAGCAGCGGCAGCGGCGGGGGTGGTTCGGTCTACCAGGACCTAGGAACCTCTGACAGTGGGCGGGCCTCCAGCAAGAGTGGGTCGTCCTCCTCCATGGGGCGGCCAGGCCACCTGGGCTCAGGGGAGGGCGGAGGTGGAGGCCTGCCGTTCGCGGCGTGCTCACCACCCTCGCCCAGTGCTCTGATCCAGGAGCTCGAGGAGCGGCTGTGGGAGAAGGAACAGGAGGTGGCAGCTCTGCGACGGAGCCTGGAGCAGAGCGAGGCGGCGGTGGCCCAGGTGCTGGAGGAGCGGCAGAAGGCATGGGAGCGCGAGCTGGCGGAGCTGCGGCAGGGTTGCAGCGGGAAGCTGCAGCAGGTGGCCCGCCGCGCCCAGCGCGCCCAGCAGGGCCTCCAGCTGCAGGTGCTGCGGCTGCAGCAGGACAAGAAGCAGCTGCAGGAGGAGGCAGCCCGGCTGATGCGGCAGCGGGAAGAGCTTGAGGACAAGGTGGCCGCCTGCCAGAAGGAGCAGGCTGACTTCCTGCCCCGGATGGAGGAAACTAAGTGGGAGGTGCGGGCAGGGGGCTTGGGCTTTCTCTTTCTGAGTCTCCCTCCTTCTGTCACTCTGGAGAAACCCAGAGCTGTGGCCCACTGTCACAAGGGGAGTGAAGGGGAGGGGTACAGAACAGATGAGGAGGGTCTGTGAGGGCCAGAGTGGCCCGGGGGTCTGTGTGAGATTAGCCACATGTGTCCTGAGTCCAAGGAGGGCCCGCTGGGTTGTTCCTGTGTGACCCACGAGTTAACCTGGCTTCTGGGGATGCTGGGGCCTGGGGCTGGGGTGCCCGCCCATGGGGCTCTGTCTTGACCCTGGTCCTCTTCGTCCCTGCCCCTGCCCAGGTGTGCCAGAAGGCAGGGGAGATCTCCCTCCTGAAGCAGCAGCTGAAGGACTCGCAGGCGGACGTGTCCCAGAAACTGAGTGAGATCGTGGGGCTGCGCTCGCAGCTGCGGGAGGGCCGGGCCTCGCTGCGAGAGAAGGAGGAGCAGCTGCTCAGCCTGAGGGACTCCTTCGGCAGCAAGCAGGCCAGCCTGGAGCTGAGTGAGGCGGAGCTGCCCACGGCGTGCCTCAAGCCCGCCCTGACCCCGGTGGACCCTGCCGAGCCCCAGGATGCCCTGGCCACGTGTGAGAGCGACGAGGCCAAGATGCGCCGGCAGGCCGGGGTGGCCGCCGCCGCCTCGTTGGTTTCCTTGGACGGGGAGGTGGATGCTGGCGGGGAGAGCGGGACGCGGGCCCTGCGGCGGGAGGTGGGGCGGCTGCAGGCCGAGCTGGCGGCGGAGCGGCGAGCCCGGGAGCGCCAGGGCGCCAGCTTTGCAGAGGAGCGCCGCGTGTGGCTGGAGGAGAAGGAGAAGGTCATCGAGTACCAGAAGCAACTGCAGCTGAGTTACGTGGAGATGTACCAGCGCAACCAGCAGCTGGAGCGGCGGTTGCGGGAGCGCGGGTCAGCCGGAGGGGCCAGCACACCCACCCCACAACACGGCGAGGAGAAGAAAGCCTGGACACCCTCCCGCCTCGAGCGCATTGAGTCCACGGAAATCTGATCCCCTACCTGGGCATGTGGCCTTTTGACAAGTGCCCTTGTCAAAGGCCAGAGTCCCCAGTGTCCCTTCCCTGCCATGTCTCTTCCCCATGTCTCCCATGTCCCCAGACCAAAGAGGTTCTCAAAGCAGCTGTGACCAGGTCCCTCCCCTCACCCCACGGGGTGCCCTTGGGGCTCTACCACTGGCCCTCTGGGCAGCCCCTTTGGACCCTCCTCCCAAGGAGGGGAGAGAGGGAGGCATGTGTGGGAATTGAGGGGCCCAGGCAGCGGGGGAGCCCCCTGCTCCCCCTCTTGGCGCTGTTTTGCTGGAGATGGGAGGCGGCAGGCCTGTAGCGCCCTGAGGTGCCCCAGCCCCTGGGTAGGTCTGGGTGGCTACTGTTGGCCACCCCGGTGTCTGGTGACGCTCTGTGTGGTCACCTCAGAGGTCATGTAGCCTGAAGGGGTCTGCGTGGGGTCTGCCAAAGCTGACAGACCTTGGGCTCCTGGCCTCTCTCCTTCCTGTCCTATTATCCCTCCCTGGGCAGATTGACAGGACAAGTGGGAGCAGATAGCCTGTATGTGGTTGAGAGGGCTACCTGCCCAGCCCCCCGCCCCCCTCCAAGGTCTCTTGGGCTCAGGCCTTGGAGCCTGGCCTGGTCCTGAGTATATGTTCCTATGTACGTATCAGGGGCCGGCCATAGGGAAGGCTGAGGGTGGAGACTCAGTGCCCAGGGAAGATCTGCTCTCCTGTTCTTGGGAAGAGTCACCTGGAGGCTTCTTAGCTCTACCCCACCCTTCTGGCCAAGACCCCACAGGGTGATAGCCCCATCTGCTTGGCTCACCCCACACCCAGGGCCACTGTCTGGCTCTAACTACAGCTATTAAGTGCTACCTGCCTCTCAGGCACTCCCCTCACCTGGTTTCTGAGGTCATATGAGTGTCTGTGATGTCTCCCTGTGTCTTTTCCCACTCGATTCCCCCAGCCTCCCTCTGCTTTCACGCTAAGAACATCATTGTCCTAGGCCACCTCTTCCCCCAACCTCACCTTTTCTTCCAGTAGAAAATTCTGCTTGATCTTTGGTGCACTGCCCACTTCCAAGCTCCAATGGGCCCAAGCCTGAGCCAGAGGCCTTTGTTTGGGGGAGCGAGGGAGGATGGTTGTGATTGCCCTTGAAGGACAAGGCTACCCGAGAGGAACACTGACGCCTGAGTTCCCAGGACCTCAAGGTAGCCCAGTGTTTGCCCAAGGTAGGCCTGGCATGGCCATCAGTGGGGGTTGGGACAGCACTGGCATGTCCCTCCTCCTCTCAGCATCCTGAGTCTATCTTCCTAAGATAGGAAGGGAAAGGCAAATTTCTAATTCACCAGCAATAAAAATTAGAGGAGGCTTGGCCCTCAGCCCTTTTATTTCTCTCTTTTCACTCTCTTCCTCCCACCCCCAAGACTTGGTTTGGAGGGCAGGGTGGAGAGAGCTGGCAACTACTGTGAGCAAGTTCCCCAACCCCTGACCAGCCTCCTCCCATGACTGGTGACTGTTTAATGAGCTGTGCGTCCCCCACAAAAACAAGAGTGCCCCTCTGTGTGGCCTCTATCCCTCTGCACAGCCCCTTCCAGGTGACCCTCACCAGATCTCTGAGCTGGGTAGGGGGGGCCATCTGGCAATCACTGCCCATTCCACTCACCCCTCACTGTACCTGCCCCAGAACCTGGGCCTGGGCCAGAGGGGCAGGGGGAAGAGAAGGCATTAGTAGGAAAAAAAAAATAGAAAAAAATATGAACAGACTCAGCTTTGGGACTTCCAAACACAAAAGAAATTATATATAAATATATATAAATATATATCTCTACCATATGTGATGGAAAGACTTCGTTTTCTTTTCCCAAAGAAATAAAATGGAGAAAGCCTCTTGAGTGGCATTCTTTGGCCTGCTTGTGTCTTTGTAGGTTGGGGAGGTGAAGCCTAGGTGAGGAGGGTGTGGAGGTCAAAGCTGGAGTAAACATTTCCTGGAGGAGGTATGAGGCTGGAGGTGCTCATTGGGCCATGCGAGAAGGTTGGCCCAAAGCCCAAGTTCCTCCATGTTGCCCAGGAGGAGTGGATCCAAGTTTCTGCCCGATGGGGCTTTCTCTTCAGCTCAGATTGTCATCCTGAAGGGTTTCAAGGTGGTTCTAACTCAGCATCTGGACACCAGGCTGCTGGTTGGAAGGCAAGACAGCTAGATGTAGTATCCTGAGCCACCTTACAGTGCCTGGCCAATATTTGAGGGCAGAAGACAAAAACACAAAGGTTGAGAAGAAGGTTGTTATTAGTGGTGAAGCCCCAGAGGCAGAATGGACCCAAGAATGCTGTGAGCAGGGAACTGTCCTTTGTGCGTAAGCACTGTCCTTTATGTAACTGCCTCTGTCATCTTCACAAAGCCCCCCTCCCCGACTCAAGAATGCAATGCAATGCAATGCACCCCATACAAGTAACACCGGATTTACAAGATCTTAAAGAGTGGTTTATTTTTTCTCACCTGACAATTCTGGTCACAAGCATCCCATCATAAGTATTGGTTCTTCAAGGACATAAGACTTCATTGTACTCTCCCAACCTTAGCATGTAGTTCCCTCAGTGCCACAAGGTGGCTGCCACAGCTCCACAAGAGACGGAGGCCACACTACTTTATCATGAAGGTAAAAGCTTTCCCAGAATCCTACTAGTCCATTTCTCCTTAAATGTTGTTGGCCAGAACTGAGTTGCATCCTCTTCTTATTTTGGGGGAGGCTGGGAAATTGACTGTTTGGCAAAGAACATGATTGTCATGGCTGCCTAGGAGCAATATGGTTCATCTCCTGGGGATGGGCTCTCTGCTTTTTCTGGGTTCTTCTCGCAAAGAGAGTCATAATCAGCCACTAGGAATGTCTGCTCTGGTCTGGCCCAAGTGAGATTTTCAGACAAACTGCCCTGTGCAGAGCTCAGGAATGGGGATGCCAGGCTTGCCCCTCCTTGAAGTGTCCTCCCTGCATTGGTTTTTATCTCCCTGACAAGATGGTGCCCTGGAAGGAGCGTCAGTTCTCAAGTCTCCCTTTCAGCACTTAGGGTAGGTGGACCTGCAACCAAGGCACTGACAAGGTATGACAAACTCCAACTGGCAGTGCTCAAGTTTCCCCCAGAACAGCAGTCTGGGACCAGGCCCTCCTGGGGGATCTCTCCCTTGCTTAGTTGCTGAGAGCCGCTCAGGTGTAAGCCTACTCAGGGAGATTAATGATGCCCCTGGCTCAGCAGCCATAGCACAAGCCTCCTCCAGCTCCAACTCCTCACATGCATTTCTCTTAACAGGCTCACTAACTCTTCTCCTGAGAGCACTTCATCGATGCATCTCTATTATAGATGCGTGATTATCCTCACTATACGGTTGAGAAACTAGGCTTAGATAGTTAATGTCACTTCTCCAAGGCCATAAAAGCCTGAGTGGCGGTCTGGGATTCGAACCAGTGTCTAGCCTATTTAGCGACTTCCAGAGCGGTTCATCCACGGCGCTGTTCCCCCCTCCGCAGGTCCTAGGCTTCCGCGTCCTCTTAGCAAGGACCTCCACTGGAAAACGTCCTTGGAAAACGCTGACAGGGTCTTTTGAGCCTCGGCGGCATCCGTCACTAGCGTAGCAGGCGGAAGTAGCGGGCAGTTGGCCGGAAGTGGGGCTCTGAGGTACGGGTGTTGCGGGAGTAGTCGTGGTGGCTCGGGGATCCGGGGTCTGGTGTTGCGGCGCCCGCGTTCGCCAGGCTCAGGTGAGTGGCGGCGGCCGGGGAGGAGGTCGTGGCGGCCTCTCCTTACCCACCTGGCCCTTGGCCCGTCTCTCCCGTCCTGGGCGGCGCAGGCCCGGGCGTGTGGAGGCCGGACTCCGCGCTTCTGGGCCCGGCTGCGGACTCCTTTCGCAGGCCCGCTTTAGGCAGCATCTCGGCGACCCCGCCACTTCAGAGTTCTGTGACCTTGGGCAGACGGTTCGTGTGAACCTTGACTTTTCCTCTGGGAGACGGAGATAACAACTGCCTGCCTCGCAGGGCTGTTGGCGTAATGCAGCGAGGTGCTTTGCCGCATTCTTTATCACACTTTCACATGCGTGCTAATCACTTGGGGATCTGGAGATTTGAGGATGTAGGTCTGTGGTAGGGTCCGAGGTTATGCATTCTTGACCAGCTTCCAGGTGAGGCTGATGCCGCTGCTCCGCAGGCCACAATTTGAGCCGCAAAATCCTCCAGTATTTTGCTTAGCACTGGGTCAACTTGAGTCTTGAGTAAATATCAATAAGATGTATACCTATTCCCCATTTTTAACAGACGGTTTCTGGTTGCCCAGACCTAACTAAGGGTATTATTGATGTCTTCCTCCCTTTTCTATCCAGAGATAAAAATAATTGCCCTTTCTCTTTCTGTGCAAATCATGACACAGCTCTTCTGTCCTGACTCAGGGAGCCTTGGGCCCTCTATATACCAGTTACTCATCCACTCACTCAGACCAGGCTTCATTGCTCACTCACTGTAAACCTTGAATAGTGCTTCATCCTATGGAGCTGGTAGCCAAGCGCTTTAGGTGTTCCTAAATGTGTCTGGTGCTCCCTGCTCTAGTCATTTGTTGCAGCTGGCATGTTAATTCCCGTTTTCTGCACTTTGCTCACATTTTGTGGATAGTGAAAACAGTGGCTTCTCCAGAACTGGATTCTACAACTCACTGCTCTGAATGGCCTCAGGCAAGCTCTGGGATGAGTTTACTACTGTCTAGTAGACCAAAATAAAAATCTGAAGACTCAGTGTTACAGCGGAGAAAGTGAGGCCTTTGGCAGTGTGCAGGCCTAGTTTATTTGACTGTATGATTTTCTTCCCTGTTCATTGGGTTATTTTTCTGATTCCCAGCAGGGTCTTGTCATTCATCATGCAAATAAGTCAACTTTTATATTAGAGAATTCTGAAGTTTCCCCTTCAGCTGTCTGAAAAACTGTACTGCTCAGCCTTGCAAGCCTAGAATAGATTAAAACCAAGTACTGGGTTAAGTTGGCCAGTTGACATGACTTTGGATGCAGATATTTCTCTTTACTTGCAAGGATTTGGTAGCTCCACTCTCACTGTCTGAGAGGATATGAGTGCCTGCTCTCTGTTGTTAAACCCGGAGATTTTCTAGATAAAGCATTGTGAATCCTTTAAGAGCAGTGGCTCTAACAAAATCATCTGTGGGGTCTTGTCAGACTGTTTCTACCCATGCGCTTCTTGCCATTCTGATAGAGGAATAGCAGAGGCTTAGAGAAGGGGAGGAGAGGGCTATATAAGCTGGGGGAAAAAAAAAGTTTCACAGTTAATTGTGACGTGCTGTTTTCTCCAATAAGAATGGAAACTAGAGGGCGTCTTGGTGGCTTAGTCAGTTAAGTGTCTAACTCTTGCTATCTGCTCAGGTCCTAATCTCAGGGTTGTGAGATCTAGCCTCAGTGGAGCTTTGTGCTGGGTGTGGAGCCTGCCTAAGATTCTTCTCTCTCCCTCTCTTAAAAAAAAAAAAAAGAAAAGAAAGTGGAAACTGGAACAAAGTGGAGGGGATGGGCTGTTAGACTTGGTTTTGGTTTGGCTTAACTCTAGGTGATACTTATCTTGACCCAAACACTTTAGCACTAGTGTTTGACCTTCATAGTAGTAGATCCCTCTCTTGTAGTCTTTGCTCCTATGTGGAAACTGAAGCACAGAAGAGTCTAGCCCAGTTAGCATTTGCATTAACAGCTAAGGGTCCTTAGGTCAGTCTCTAAGACATCACTAAAGCTTGGTAGACTCTCAACACATGGAGAAATTTAGTTTTTTGTTTTAATTCTCGGTTACGCAACAAATTTTTTGCTAAGACAAGATTAGAATTTGAAGTATCCATTTATTTGTGGCTATTTTATGAGGACATGAGGGGTTAAACCTTTGTAGCAAAAGGACAGAAATCAGAATTCAGAGAGGAGATCCAGTAACTGGTGAATTGAATATGCTGAGAGTGTCATAGACTTAACCTACAGTTAGCATGGCTGTCTTCCTCCGACGGGCTCCCTTCCTCTAACTTCTGGATTATAGTTTAAGTGGAACTATTTGGCTTTGCTCAGATCTGTATCTGGAAGGTAGAAAGGTAAGAAAGAGTCTTCACTCCTACGAAATTCCATTGCTCAGGGTGGTTGGGCAGTGCCAGGGGTCTCTGAGGCTTCATTCTGGTTTGTTAGGACCTCTAAAGAAGAGATGAGGAGCAGGATGTACATATAGTTAAGTTTATACATTTAAACTAAGAAAGGAGCTTTGTGCTGATGTCGGATGTCTTTGAACCTCTAGAGAAGGCATCAGTAGGTACTGACTGGGGATCTCACAGTATTCCCTTTCCATCTTTCTTACCGATTCTCTGGGAGTTCTTAGGGAAAGAAGAACTAACTAACTCAGCTGTGTTTTCTCTGTTTGGGCAAAGGAGAACCTCTCCTTTGTCGTGCCTTTTCTCCTTACTGTTCTGCCCTATTGGTTCTGTATCTTCCCTTCGTTTCTTTCCTTTCCTTCCACAGTACTCAAGACCAGACTTCTAAAGTGATTATATTTCAGACCTATGTATGTAAATACAGTGTCTATACAGTTATGCTAAAAGTTGCATGGTGAAAAGGTAAGTACCTCCTATTTGCCATTTGCAGTTGGCTTTGCACGCTTCTACGATTATTTTGTCATTTCTGTTACTGGGCATCCTTAAAGAAGTTTTGTAGACAATTGGAATTGCTTGGACTAGAAAAGCTTTTCAACATTTTCCTTAGAACGTAAGGTTACTTTCTTTGAGCACTGATTGTCTTCTCGAAAAATACCTTAATTTCCTGTTAGTACATGCATTTGGCAAATTTAATTTTTGTCAAAGTTGGACATGGTTTACACAATCCAAT